AGAAATTCAACAACCCATATGCCTTAACAATATGCACTTTCATAGAGAAAGTGATTGCACAACTCTGACTGCATAGTTATATCGCATCAGCCTACCACAAGAGAATGTTACACTTCTTTTTTACTTACTTTACTTTTACTTTTACTTTTAGTCATTTAGCAGACGCTTTTATCCAAAGCGACTTACAAATAAGAAAAAGTAATTAAAACTACAAGCTAAAACCCGCGACCGCTTCCGCGGTAAACTAAGCTTCTTTTTAATTAGTTTAACAAAACTCAAATTGAATTCAGCTGGACACACTTTCCTTTTTATCCCAACAAATGGCCAAGCAAAGCGCACGACACTGACAAGGTACGCGATACAGTACGAGACCAAACGCCATTTTTACAGTTGTTATAACTGACGGTCATATCTACTCTAAGAGTTAGGCAGTTAAAAACAATGGCGTGCTTCCCGAATACAGACAAAGTCCCTTTACGGCAAATCATTTTACTCTTAAGGCAAGTCATTTGCACATCTTTGAAACTTCTTTCGGGAAGCTATTTCAGTTATCTAAGTACAGCTAGTCTTTGGATAGGAAAAAAAAAATCTAAATCTCCAAAGCTGTTCACCAAGCCTACTAATTAAATGTCATACTATTTTTCTTATATTTCATGATAGACTATCCAATGTGCTTGTGCAGTCCTAAGCGTGTCTCAGGACACCGACTGTTTCTATAGCAACCAGAGCTTCCATCGGCAGCTGCAGTGACACGATGACTTTACCAATAGCGAATGGTTCTTTTATTTAGAAGGTGGAACTGTTGTATTGTTGTCCCATTCGTAAGTAATATGAGTACACCGTCTTTGTATATCTAAAATCTCTGACACATCACAGATGTCAAGTCTGTTCTTTTACTGATTTCCAGTTATGTTCTTTTACACAGTGCATTTTTTACAGCTTAATACAATAGGAAACAAATAAACACTGTACAGAACAGCATGTGTTTTTACCTTTTTTAAAATTATTAAATAGTGTGATATCATATATCACCTTAATATCGACTATCAAAAAATCTATATTGGTTGACCACTACTTGTGTGTTTTGCAGCACCTCACACATGACACTGATATCTTAAAAAGTAGTTCTCAAAGTAGTATCTACATCTTTGTATTTTCTTTCCACTGCCCTGTGTCTCATATTTTTAAACGCAAAAATGTGTTCTGTATAAATGTCCAGAAACCTTTTTAATTTTGAAGGATGTGGTAATGCGAACTATATCTCCAGCATGTGAATAGTACAGCAGCGAAAAACTGCCCAATTCTCAGGGTCAGCAAGAGAGTGGAAATTGATTATGAAAAACTAAATTGTGACTGTGATTGAATAACATCAGGTGGACTAAAATGCTAAAAAGTGTAGGATGAACTTACTTTACATCTAAAAAATATCTGTTTTAATGCACTGTCCCTATGGAATCACATTCGGTATTCTATGAATATAGGGTGTCCCTCCTCCTTATGTTGTCCTACTGTTCTGTTGGGACATTGCCTGTCTCAGTGACATTTTCATCAGACAGATGGGATTGTGCCTGCTTGTCTGGCTGCTTTTTAACCTTGCCTGACCGTGTCTGTCCCCAGAGGGACAGCTGTGCAAGGGACAGGTCAGGACATGACTTGTCATGCTTTCATAGAGGACAAAAGTAGGATCTCAAATATTAATACACACCTGCTGGTGTGCAGTTTTCTAAATCTGGAGATCACCCTGCCAGATGACCTTTCTGTATCTGATATTAAAAGAGAAAATTGTGTTGCAAAACTTCCTGCAAAAAGAGTTGAGTATTACAACATGCATTAATTTATTAGCTTTTATAGCTCTTCTAACTAAAATAAGTAATTGATGTAGAGGCTGAAGTTTGTGAGAGAAATGATAAATTAATGAAGTTTTGATTCTTTATTCTGCAGTGCTTTGCTGCATATTATGTATAATGTCATCCTGCACACGCCACCAATTTTTGGTTTCTTAAACCTTGCTGTGCCATAACATGATGTTTTTGGTTTTTTTTGTACCAAAGATGTTGGGAGTACTTTGATGTCAGTGGAAATGTGAGTGTCATAGTTTGACTGTTTTTGACTCTTTCATTTAAAATAACTACAAATACCTAATTGTTTGTGATGGCAGACATGAGTTTGCGACAGCAATGAAAGCTTCAACTTAAGGACAAGCAAACAGACCAACACCTGGCAGAATTGTTTTTCCACAACCTTCATCACTCCCTCTCATTGTCACTTCCTCATATCATTTAAGCTTTAGTTGGTGTTGAGAGACATTCTCAGTAAAAGGCAGGAAGTGATCATTCTGAAGGCTGTCACCTGTCTAAAGTCTGAAGTGACATGTGATGCATCAGATGTAATGCCCCAACTAAAGATTTTCCTAGTCAACTATTAGTTCTTCATTTAAGCCATTAGTTCACTAGTTGCACATTTATGATATTAATTTAATGTGCCATCATATTTACGTTCTACGCTTTCAGAGGGCTGTGGGACACAAGCAGGACAGAAACCATCTCTTGTCTAATATGCCAACAACATCCCGATGTTCCAAAGGAAGAAACGTTTAAAAACCCTGAAAAAACTGTGAACATGGGCATGAGTGAAGATTTGAGAAAAGAAATGGTCATAATATTAATGTAAAATAGCATTCAGACACGCATACACACACACAAAATATCTAACTAACTAAATAAATAAGTAAATAAATAAATAAGAACAAAATAATCCAACAAATAAACAAACAAAAAAGGTTCATGCCACCATGTATGGTACTGGGCCAGGGGCAGTGGCACAGCCCTATATAAAAATGAAGAAAACATTTTTCTGTAACATTTTTTGTTTTGTCTAAACCTTGTTTTGTTGTCCTGGTTTCTAAAGGGATAATTTTAAAAGTCATTTGATAAAATAGGGTTTTTAATTTGATGTCCCTTTCTTTGGTAGTGATATTGCTGTAAGTGGAGACTTGCAGTGAAAATTTTGATATCCAGAAGGGCCCGTTATCTGATTGTGCTAATTAAGCTGGGACCTTATTACCAACCCACACAAATGTTCTCTGTCTTTAATACACCCCCATACACAGCAATTAAATGAAAGTCAATAAGTAGGCAAACCTGCTTTATTGTGTTCCGGGCTTCTGCAGATGTTATTCTGGGTTGAGGCATTGATTAATGTCTTCACCACTCATTTTCTGTAATATGTTGTGCTTGATAATCAGTAGGTTTGATTGGAGGAGGCGTTAGCCTGAGGAACAAGTCATGCTTTGGATGGTTCTTTCAGCGTTAACAGATCAGACATCAATAATTCATAACATCATTTATCAGCCGTTTTTCTCTGTGGTAACAAGGTTATTGCGGTGCATCATAAAGCTTACAAACATTATTAAATAAATGTATTGTATAGTGGTGAAACTATCTATCAACTTTGAGCTCAGTATCATTGAGGGTGGCCTTGCTTTCAGTCACCAGACTCAGATGATTGATTTGATTTACTTATCATTTTAATTATTTGTTTACACTGTAAAAAATTGTGGCGTTAAATAACAGTAATTTACTGGCAGCAGGGTTGCCAGTAAGGTACTGTTAATTTACAGCTCTCAACCGTTAATTTACAACTCTTAATTTTTACAGTGTTTTACCGTAATTCTACCATGGAAATTAACTCCGCTCCCATTGCTTCAAACAGTCAGAGTTTAAAAACTAGCATTTTGATGGCCCAAGCGCCAGTCTGTCACTTTAAGACAATATATTGACACACATCGGATTTTCTCCCAACTGTTCTCCTCCACTTAAGACATAAACTGTGTTTAAGTAAATACTCTCCAAGCCGGCCATTTTTACATATTTTTGTGTGTATTTGATCGATTGGACATGCGCCCGAAGCTCAAAGTGTAATTTGATTGTCCGTTTTAGAGCACGCCGCACGCACACATTTCAGCCTGAGGAACAGCGTCTCTTGTTCGGATTGTGCTTTCAACATTTTATTATCAAACATGTCCCGCAATTTAGCAACAGTAAAGACGGCATCTTACAACAATCACCGATTGAGCTGATTCTGACGTTAAGTTTGGGTTTTAGGGAGGAACGAATGCGCACCGCTGTGAAGGGAAAGAAGTTGCGCAATACGAAACGCAGCTAGTTTTTAATAGCTTTACCTCATGTCTTATTTTGTATAATCCTTAGAAGCCAAAATCGAAATAAAAAAAATACAATTAGCTTAATAAACAGCCACAGGCCTAAAGTGTAAGCAGATGTTTGAATGTTTAGTTCTCTCTTCCATCATAATTAAACAGGGCTTTCATGTTGCACGTGCTGAAGCTCCTCCGCATGGGCACGATCTCGCTTCTGAATTGCGAATAGCAAAAATGCATAATTTTTAGACAAATGTTTGAAAAACAGCTGGAGACTCTGGTGAGATAGAATTTGCAAGATAATGTATATATAGCAATAATAAATGTATGTGTCTTTTATTAATTTCTCCAGTACCGATAGCAGAACCGTTAACGTCAGAGCTTATCGATACTCCGGTCTTTCATAATTTAGCCCCGGGACCGATTAAATACCGGGTTTCAGTACCCATCCCTACTAGATACACTAGAACCTTTCACCCTTTAACCATTCAGTCCACAAATAGTCTTTACAACAAGCTGTTGGATCCAACTCGGGTTACCCTGAAAGCCCCATGCTGAGGATTTCTCACTGTCCACCCTGCCATATCACCTGTTCTAGCCTGTCTTGCCCCATTTATTCAAAGCCATGAAGCTGAAGACAGATTTTTGTTTACACACACACACACTAAACTCAAGAGCTTAGAATAATGAAGGCCATTTCAAATATTTTGAAAGAAACAAAAATTGGTTTTAATGTTGTAAGATTGTATGCCACAAGTTAGCAACAAGTTTGTTAAGTCGATGTAGATAAATTAAGAATGGACTCAATACTGCTGCTCCACTATCTCAAAAATTGGGGTCATAAAACCATTCCTTCATCACTGTCTTTAGAATGATTAAATCAGCCAATCAGAATGAGCTACCCTACTGATACCACACAACATCGTCAAATCGCATTAAAGCAGGTCCTCCTGATAAGAAACGACATTGACAATGTGTATATCTTATCCATAGACTTCAAAACAACAGGGAGACGGCCGTTAACAGCTTATGTTCGTTTCTCAGTCAAATGCAATACTTTGTTTAGGGTCACAAAGACACTTACTGGAGTGAGGAGCTCTGGAGTGGAGATGGGTGAACTGTCACTGTTGAGTTTAATTCCACTGCCAAGATCAAAATCGCATATCTTCACAGGCGAAATCTGCAAGAAACACATCAACAGGAAATCAGATGAAAAACCTTTGCTCAGAAATGACTCCATCCACAACTGCTGAGCATGATCGAGCGTTTATAGTCTGCTTGGAAACCTCAAATCATCTGATTAAACTTTTACCACAAATGCAAAGTATAGTCTGAGCTTCTAACTAGGCAAACATGCTGTCGTAAAAGACTCACCCTTTTCTCGTGTTCACACAAGATGTTTTCAGGCTTCAGGTCTCTGTGGGCCATTCCTACAAAAGCGCAAACACAAGTCATGCGTTAGTAGTGTGGTATTCAGGCTAAGTGAGGATTGTCGACTGGGGCAAAGATAGGCGAATGTTTCCAAAACAGCTTGTTGCTAAGTGCTACTAAAATTGGCTTAGCATCCCTTCACCCAACAGTACCGACAGGAATAAAACGTCAGCCCACAACTTCACCTAGAAATCCAGTGCGCATCCCTCAAGCTAGTCGATGAAATATGATCAACTTGACACAATTTCCAACAACCCCCATAACCTCCCCTTCCCCAACTGTCTCCAGAGAAAGCCATCCCCCATGTGTAACACCATCTTCTTATCTCCCTTTTCCAGGCCTAAAGCACTCCTCCCAGTCGGTGTTCTCATACCTTTATTGTGAAGGAAGTCCAGTGCACTCGCAATGTCCTGCACCACAATGCTGGCTTCCTGCTCGCTGAAGTATCTCCTCTTGTGAATGTGGGCCAAGACAGAGCCTTAAAAAAAACAACAACACATTGTTACACATTAAAACCGGGGCACGCGATCTTCACATTCCAATGGCCGGGGTGTCAATTTAATTACTCATGGCTGGTCTTTGGGCCCAGGGGAGACTGGATAATGTTTCTCAAAAGTAACATAACACTACAGAAGCACACGTACCTCCTCTCAGCTTCTCAAACACAAGGTAAAACTTGTCCTCCTCCTCAAAGAACTCCACCAGCTCCAGAATATTTCTGTTGGGTGGACAAAAGACAACATTTTGAGTTAAAACCACATTGCCGCATTAGAATGCACAACATACACATTTTTCATTGCCTGTGAAAAGAATAAAGAATAGGTTACCTGTGCCCCTGACACTGGTACAGCATTTCCACCTCTCTGAAAACACGACTCCTGCTGTGTCCTGGCCTTTTCTCAATGATCTACGAGGTGAAAAAAAATGGCAGGTTAGGATCAAAGCCAAATGAGAAACAACATCCTAAGGTGACAACCGCCCCTTAATTTAAGGGGCCGTTTACACGACAACTTTTTACGCGTTTTGACTGTTCGTTTACACTACAACGGCGTTTTGGGGACTGAAAACGCATATTTTTGAAAACGGCACCGTTATCGTTTCCGTTAGGCCTGGGCGATAAAACGGTATCAATATTTATCGACGGTACACCTTCTTCGATAACGATATAAAAAAATTTCGATATAGTGCACAATATAGGCACGTGCTCTGAGTGACGCAGACAGCACACACAAACATGAACACATGTGACTGCCTGTGATGAGGAGATTGTGAATAAAAAAAATGAATATTAGTCGAATTTAAAATAAACATTTGCATTTGAATGCAAAAATAGTACAATCAAATGTTAGGAGTGCGTCAGGGAG